ATATGATGAAATGTGCATAATATTATAATTTTAAGTCTTGTATTAACTAGGACCAGTATTTCGACTACCTAATTTGGCTGTGTAATAGTCGTTAAATGAACTCAAAACAGGTTAATTACATTTTTCAACATAACAATATAGTAAAATATCTTTATAAAAATTAATAAGCAACATACCTAATATTGTCCAATCTTTGAATTGCAAATATTGGTAAATTAATTAGATTAAAAGATTTTTGATGTTGATAGATATTTGTAAAGAAAGATTTTACTGTAATTATTTGTTTGCAAGGAATTTATGCTAATTTAAAAAAAATTCATATTTTATTATAATATGTTTAGTTAGATAAAGTAGAGTTTATAAATTTAAACCAGTTAAAACAAGTACAAAAATAAAAATAAAATAATATTTATTATCATATTTTTCACATCTATTTAGTACCATTCTTTTAAAATTATTAAAATATTTTTTTGAGTAAGTATAACTTATCCAACTTACTAATTATTGATAGTAAATATACCCATTATTAACATTTTTTTTTTAGAGATTTTACTAATAATAATATATGTAACTAAAATAAATTTTTAAACTATAAATTCTATATTAATAAATCATATTTACATAACTTTAAATGTTTTTAATTTTTCAAAGTACTGTTTTAAATTGGTAGTAAATTTTTTGATGGCTAATCTGAAATTTATTAGAGTTACTATAATAATATCGTTTAACATTAGTTTACCCATTAAATAATATATCAAAATCTTATTCTATTTTCTTGTTAGTGATTGGGTCAAAATTTGTGATTAATAGTAGTGTACTTGTAGATTAAGTATGTAGTTGATTACTTACTTTTTTTTCTCATTATTTTAATTTTCAATTAATTTAAGAAGATTTTCAATAGTTATCAATCATCATTTTTTGGACGATTTTTACCAAAAAAATATTGTAAAAAATCAACATAATTACCATACTAACTATTAACTTAAATTTAAGTCTTAGTTATTATTTTGTTCATTGGATAATCTGTTATAATACATTTTGATAAATAATGTTCTTAAATTGAAATTTCATGTTTACTGATAAAAATTTATTTTTTAATTTACTAACCACCTAAATTATTTATCAAATATTTTGTATAGCTTAAGGATATATTTTATTATAGGTTATATTTGAAACAGTAGCTGATCAATCAGACATAATTCCATTATGTCCTCATTTAAATTTATTTCTAAAACCTTTTGCACGGATCTTGATCACTGTTCAACTGGATGGCAAAAGCAAAACAACAATTTCCAATTGGCAAATCATGGAACGTTTAAAAGAATGGATAGATCCAGACAAGTTTTCTCATCTTTGTGTAGCAAAAACATCTTCGGAATTGATAAGGTTAGTAGATATTTTTAAAAATCATATTAATAATATTTATATTTTATTGATTTTATTTTAGGTTCGACGCAGAACTAGCTGACCGTTCACGATTGTCAACAGTATTATCCCGTTTGTGTGATAGACGAATAAAATTTCCTGGATTTTCTCATTTATTGACTGTGCGAGCTATTGAATCTAAACCAGATTTTCCTACTCGTCATAGTTGGGATTCATATTTTCGTGATAGCAAAGATATGAATGAACTAAAACCGGGTGAGCGTCCTGATACTTTGCACATTGAAAATCTACCTTTGGAGTGGTTAACTAAATCTGGAGAAAAATATCCTAATGAAAATATTCTAAAAAAAATTTTCAATGGATTTGGTGAAGTAGCCCGGGTTGATTTGCCTGCTGCTGACCCATCAAGAGTTATTCACGGAGTAGGAATCTGTGATGCATACATACAATTCAGAGACTATTCAGCTTTTGTGAAAGCAATGGATGCATTAAGAGGTCATAAATTGGCTTTTATCACGGATACAAAAGCACTAACAGCTAATATCAAAGTGGACTTTGATAAAACTAAACATATGACTTTAAGTGCGATAACAAAGAGACACGAGCGTCGTGATCGATTCTTGATGAGGAAAAAAGTGATGGAAGAAACAGAAAGACTAGAAAAAGTAAAAGAGTTAAAAAAACGAGAAGAAGAAAAGTAAGATATCTTTTAGTAATATTTAAATTTATTAAATTGTAATTTAGTTAAGTTAATAAATTAATAATATAAATATATTATTTATAAGCATTTATTTTTAATTTCATTTTTTAGTAAAAAAAAACTCTTTGAATTGGAAAAAAAAAATGAAAGGCGTAAATTACGAGAAGAAAAACGTAAAACTAAACGTATAAAGCGTTTGATTGATCGAGAAGCAGATGTAATGAATCAAAAAATTGCAACTGAAGAAAGACTTTTGTTAAAAACACAAAGAAAATTAGAAGCTATTCATTTACTGGGAGAATTATTTACAAGAATCAAAGTAAATTTACAATCTTTAGTATAATTTTTAATTTGTAGATTTATAATTTATTTTTGTATTTTAGTTGAAAATTAATTCTCAAAAGAACGAGGAAGAAAAATCTGAAAAAAATAATACCAATTCAAATGTAAATTATGAAATATAATATTATTAGTGCATTTTTAGTAAATTGTTTTAATTTTTAGAACGTTCAATGTAGAGATTTTGAGTCTACTTTCAAACAAAGAATGATTGAAAAATGGAAACCATTTCAGAACAAAATATTAAAAAGTAAATTTCCTCAATAATAAGGTTATGTACTAAGAAGTTAATATTTTGGTTTAAAGTTTGTATATAAACTAAATAATTTAAATAGTACTTAACAATTTATTAAATAAAGGTACAGTATTTGAAGTGTTGGGTAGTAATTGGTTATTGTAATAATGCCATTTTATTTGAAGTGTGACAATATTTTGTTACAATTTTTCCTAAAAAAAAAAAAAATTAGAAAAATAATAATAATATAAATGTATAACGGGTTTATATTATTTTAAATTAATATAAAAATAAATAAAAATGTTTACTTATACTGTACTTAATTGGAAATATACCTTTTATCTCTATGTTTGTTGATTGATATTTAATAAGAAATTAGAGAAAAATCCATGTACTGTTTTTTTTTTTTTTTTTTAATGTAAAAATAACAAATTTTGTTTATTGCAAAGTAAAGTAATTTCATTACATTTTCATTTGAATGAAAAGTAAAGTATCTTATCCTTAAAATTTATGTTGCTATACAGTAGAACCTCGATTATCCGTGATTCGATTATCCGTATTTGCGATTAACCGTGCCCACTCTTCAGAAAATTTATAAACATAATACTCGATATCGACAATCGTATTAATGACATTTTTGACGATAATAATATGAAGATAAGCAATATTGTACATCGATTATTATATTTCTAATTATAATTGAATCAAAATTTTTAAAATTTCATTATTATGAAATTGTACCTATGTTTTTCTAATTATAAATTATAATTAAATAAAAAATGTTATTATTATAAAAAGTCTTGATTAACCGTGATTTTCATTTATCCGTGTGACCGTCTCCCCATCATTACCCCGGATAATCGAGGTTCTACTGTATTATTATCTCCATATCTCCCTAATTTTACTTGATGTATTTATAAATTATTTAATTTTATTATAAAAAATATCATAACATTATAATTTTTGATACCTTTTCAACAAATTCATACTTATTAGAATTGAAATTATATTAAATTGAAAGAAAATCTATAAATAATTAATTATACTTCTAATAATACATGCTTTTGTGTACATACTGAATTACTTGTAACTAATAATACTTTGTGTTGTTATTGAATGTTCAAATTACAATATGACATTTTTGTATATTCCAACGTATATACCAAATTATCAAAATATAATTTATGTAATATCTATTTCAGTTATGATTTTTTTTTCAGATTCTACAAATAACGATACTGAAAATCGTAGTTCTAACAATGAGCAAAACAATCATAGCCAAGGCCGAGGCCGAGGAAATTGGCGAGGTGTTCGTGGCAAAGGGACACATCAATACATGGGTCGTGGAGCATACTTAATGCCACCCATGTTTGATCCAATGCAATTGATTAATTATGGACACAAATATCATAAGTATATTCAAAAACTTAATAAAAAAACAGATAATGACAGAAGTCGTAGCCGTAGTCAAAGCCGTAAACGAAAGCGTTCTTCATCTAGTAGAAGCTCTAGGAGTTATAGCCGTAGCCGAAGTCGAAATAAAAGTTATACTAGGTCAAGAAGTAGGAGTCGTACAAAAAAAAGCTATTCTAGAAGTAAAAGTCGTTCAAAAAGTAAGAGCCCTAAAAAGTCTCACAAGAGTCATTCAAAGAGTGAGAGTCAAATTAGAAGTATAAATAAAAGTTCAGAAAAAACAATAGAAAATAGTTCTAAACATAAACATAAGAAAAAGAGTAAAAATAAGAAGGCTAAAAAGTTAAAGAAATCTAAGAAATAATATTTTGAGTATAGCAATATCAAAAAGAAGAAACTTGTCATTATAATTTTAGATGTTTTATTTAAAAACCATTTGATCATGCTTCTGATTTTAAAGTAAACATAAACACATTTTTATTTTCTATTTTCTGTAAGATCTTGAAGCCAGTGCTGCCATTAAGTATTTATCTGAAGAGGTATAGTCAGATATTACATGTCCTTTTTCTAGGCATACTTATGTAAAATTTTGTCCTATGAATAATTATTATGATGTAATGTACCACAAATTGGTAACAAAATTACTTGAAGATGTTGCTGTAAATTATTTTTGATTTTTGTAATAATATTTCTAATATATTCAAAATTACATTAAAAAGTTTATTTTGTATTGTATTTATTATAAAAAAAATTAATTATACTTAAATATTTAATATTATGTTTTCATAAATTTACATAAATAATAATAATCTAATGAATAAAAGTAAATAAATAAACAAATAAATAAATAAATAAATAAATAAAATTAATTGTAGCCATTGTGCTATGTACAATAGAACATTTTAAACGTACAAAGCACCTCGTTGTACAAAAAAAAAAAAATTAAAATTATATTTATATTGTCTACTTGTATAATTATATCTATTCAAAAAAAAGTAATTAATAAATTATGTTTAGATAAAAGAAAAGAGTTGAGCAGCTTCATTACATTTTATTATTTTAATATTAAATAATAACAAATAATACAATGTATTTGCTAATTGAACTTTAATTTTATTCAACCGTTTTCAGTATAGATGACGAATAGTCTAAGACCGTTTACTTTTCAGTGAATCTTCTACTTGCACTGATTTGATAAACTGCATGGCTCTGCGCCAAGGGAATGGTGGCGACAATTGGCCTATAAAAACATTAAAAGCTAATGAGAACACCTTTACATTATAAGAATTGTTAAAGATGGTGAATTTGATGTTTCAGTCTTCATTATTAAATATTATAAATACCAATTTTTATTTTGTTATAAAAACTGGAAAGGCGCTTAAGACTTAAGTACGTTTTAAAAAATGTTGTAGCTTTAAAATAATTAAATGGAAATAGGTTGTAGCGAATGGGCCAGTAGAACACGAAAGATGTTTATCTGATGCCTATTTTGATTTAATTAAGGAGTTTGAATAAATAACAAAAAAAACTAAGGAAAATTTTCAAAATTTAGTGGAACTTAAGTTTTTGATATTGATGGACTGTGGAGAATGGGTAATTACTTACCCGAGTGTCAAGTAAAGGCTAAAGTGAGGTAGGGAAATTCTAAATACACTAACACTATATCGAACTTTGATTGAGTAGATAACTTACTTTCTGAAGACCTCCTGAAGTAGGAGTTTAACGATCGGGGGTTTCTTAGAGGCCTAGCCCGTCGCTTAGTTATCGGCGCTGGGCTAGAATGGAGAGGTGGCGCCAACGTAGTTTGATGACTTCCTCCGCCACCATTCTTTGTTACGCACATCATGCCATAAACTCTGATGCCAGGGACGCTGGCGTACGTCGGCTGGTCGTGACTCATCGGACCTTCTGTACAAAAAAACAATTTAATGTAAATAAGTTAATTTTAAAATTCATAAACAATAACAGTAGGTAAGTAAACGAGGAAAAAACCGGTAAATTAACATGTGTTACTATTGTTGGAATCCACTATTCAATAATACATATTATATTTGTGCATTTAGAGTTTTCAACCGAGAAATGTTTCAGTCCGGAAAGTAAAAATTAGAAAAATTACAGAAAAAAAGAAGCTGATAAAAAAAATATCTTTGCATTTCACGACGGACATCGTAGTTAGTGCTTACATTGAATTAAAAATATTTAATATGAGAAATCTCGCACCAAATTCGAATGTAGGTAGGTACTTAGTTCTTTTGTATTTTGTACATATGCCATATTACGAGTATATGTACATACAAAGTGACTTAAAAAACATACTTACACCCATTTTTTCTTCTCATATTATAATTACTCAAATTTTTATTTTCGGAATTTCTTAGTATATTTTTAATTATTTTTAACTTTTATACCATTTTGTATAAACATTTTTTTTTAAATGAGAGCCAATCTTTTACTATAAATTATAAATAATTGAATGATTTTTTTCTTATAAAATCTTTATGTATTTAAATCAAAATTTTAACGTATAATTGCTAATAGTTTTTAAAGTATATATGTAGGTACTAAGGATAATAGATAATTCTTAAAAATGTGATACCTATTGAATCTAATATTTATTATATTCAACAATTTTTAAAAATTCTAAAATGTTGATTAATTAGGTACCACCTGGCATCGATGTACTATTATTTTCAAATCATCATAGGCCTCATAAATAGAGTGAATCTTATTTGAAAAAAAAAGTTAGTACCGTTACATGATATTTCTTAAAAATTGGATAATAAATCTAAGTATGTATAAAATATGATCCATAAGTATGGTAAGTACTTATAATTTCTAAAAATCAGAATTTGAATAAATGTATTATTCAAAAAAAAAGTGTGGTGAACACGGCTGTGAATGATTTAAATAAATCACGTTAGTGAATATCTATTCATTTTGTCGTATATCTTACCCAGTAGACTGGTGTGAGGACATCTGCAGATGACCAGGTAATGCGACTTGCCGGTGCGGACGTTTTGTAGAGCCAATAACGACCAGTCCCTCGGTGAACGGCACGTCCTCATTTCGGCCACTGGTTCGCACGTCTTGACCAATGTGAGGATCTATACGGTGCACGTATAAAAAAAAAAAAAAACAATATTTAGTTAGGTAATATATTTTATTGTTCTGTATTATAATTCAATATTTATTAACATTGTTAATAATTAATATTGTCATAATTCATGTTTGATTATAATAATTTTTGGTGATAATAATTATGTATTTATGTGTAAGTAGTATATCGTCCCGCACTCTTACAGGCACAAACAACTTTATAGAATGAGGGAAAAATAAAATCAATATACCCTTATTTATAATATATATATATATTTATAAAAAACTGAAAGCAGTGAAAACGTACTGCCTATTACCTTATACATTTTTATTTTTATTTTGGCATCATCTTTCAGGGTATTCGTGGGGAATTCGTCAAAGACGCGCGACCGTGGTAACCTCGCTGTCGGTCAACGTGTTATATATGTCACTTGGGAGCGGGTATCTGTTATATTTTATTCCAGTCACTAGGTACTCAATTTTGTGAAAACGTTTTTTACTTCGTCCGGACCGTCTGATTCAAATTTCAAAACGATTTTAAATTTGCGAGTGTGCATGTACTATAAATGAATTACAGTGCTATAACAATAATACGGCGAAACTACGAGTCTTATCACTTTTGAGTTCCGGTTTGAATAAAACCGTTTTCGGACAATCAACGGAGTCATCTCAAGGTAAGAGATTAAGATTCACCACCAGTCACATATATAATATTTTTATTAACAGCAACAGTGCAACTGGTTTTATTGTCAGATACTACATAATAATTATAATATACCTGTATTTATGTGAATACATGGATAATTGATTAATAGAAACAAGAAGTGGGTAGTATTCGTAATAAAAATAAAGGTATATATTAAAGGGTTGTTTAATATGTGTTTGTGGCTAAGTAAAAACAATACAGACCGAGAGTCGAAGACCCTTAGCCTAGATGAGAATCTTGTAGGTAATCATTTTTAGTCAAAAAAGCATATTATAGTTTATAATTTGAAAAGCTGTACTCAAAATATTGGTACCTACCCAACTATCACTTGAGTGTATACTATAATACTATATTGTGTTATTACTTATTGCACGAGTATACTTCACAGTATTATTAGGCACACCGTGTATAAACTATTCTATATCCATTTTAAAATAATATGTAGGTACACAGTACACTGTTGAGTAATTTTAACTATGAAATGAATGCGAGAACGCGGTCATTAAATTATTATTTTTTACGTATAAAATAAAAAATTTGATTTTGTCAAAAAGAGATTTTGCGTAAAAATTTTAGTTTGTATATAATAATTTTTCCCAATTACATACTGAGAATTTTTTTATTTTTGACCCTAAATTACCAACTAAAAAGTGCAAGCATTTTTTCTGCTCCAAACAATGAAAAGTGATGAAAGACAAAAAAAAGCAACACACACATTGTAAAATCAATATATTAACGCTATGTTCAGAATTTACAACATTGAACATAGGTAGGTAATTTAATAACTATTTATATGAGGCTCACTGATGCATTATTTATAGATAATATATATTAAGAATTTTATCTTTAAAAACCATGTGCTGGCTCCGATTTATCAATTCATGAGATCATTGCAATTTAAAGTGTTGGGTTCCTAAATCATTGAATAAAATTGTATTGATTAAAATATTATTATTTAATATACAAGAATACTATATTATATACATTATTAAATACCTACGTTCAGCCAATTGCACATCCCTGATATATACAAATGTAGAATATAAATCTTTAAAAAAAAATAGCAAATACGGCCAATGAGGGGGGGGGAGGCATGGCTCCTGTATGCCTTCTGGACATGCCACTGTCTAAGTTTGATAATGCAATATTTATATTTTAATTACAGTAACTAAAAAGAATAAATATTTATTTTTTAAAACAATCTATATTTTTGATTTTAATATATTTTTATAAAACAATATTTTTTAATTCGAATTATATTGAAGTATTAATAGATATTTTTTCTCTTTCTGTTTTAAAAACTTGTCAATAATATTGTCGAAACTGAGGATTTCTGAGTAAAAAAATGTAGTTACAAATACAACTAATTTTGTTTGTCTGTTGTCGGTGAGCCCTACTTTCGAGTGGGCTCAGTGTAAATGTTTTACACGTCCTTGCATAAACATGACTTTAACCATATAATGGTATAAATAATTACCTATAGGTTTAGATGTTTAATAATATTTGGTTGCCAATGTATAAAATTTTTAGCATAGTTTTAGACGTTTATTTTTAGTTTTCATAGAGTTGTATTTATTCTTGACTAAAAATTAAGAAACATACCAAAAATCTGGAATGTCCATGTTTATGTTTACGCCAAAATTGAAGTGATTTTTCTGCGTTAAATGTTTTGTGGCTCTTTATTTAACTTCAATTACTCCAACTTATTTTGGTTTTTGAGATTATATTTTAATTTAGACTACATATTTTAAATAACTGCTAGGTATATGTTTTTGTTTTTAACGAACCAACAAAGTAATCCGCATTGATAATTTAAAGAAAAAAACAAAAATTCTATTGTAATTCGTCATGTATGAATGAACTTAACTATCAGAAAATAAGATATAATATACACGAGTGTATTTTTGATGTTATTATAGAGATTATCCAAATCATTTCTGTTATATAGCATACATAATTCTCAATATATGATATTACTATAACATGTATTGATTTTTTTTCTTTAAATATAAAATAAATATGGAAAAACAAAGTTTTGTATAGCTTGTTTATCATAGGTATAATACAATAATGATATATTTTTTCTATTTTGAATTAGGAACGTGAATTATATTGTCGAGCCTAGTTATGAAATATTATTTAAATTGCCACAATCATGGTAAACGATTATTTCATGTTCGATTTTTAAATTAAATTTGTCACGATTCTCTCATCAATGAATAAATTATTTTTAGTTAGAGGTACATTCTACATAAAATTTTATATTGGTTTAACTCTAACTATTTAGTTTTAAGGAATTTGTCATTTATAAAATCTCAAAACTGACATATAATTTTAAGTCTGAATAAGTTTAATAATATGCTTATTCTTTTTTTTTTTTTTTTTTTTTTTATTGAACTTAAGCCCGGCAACTAGGGCCATTAGCTGTTTGTAGGGGTTATGAATTATGGTAAGGGGTAAGGTTGGTACGGTAGGTTGTATTTTTACGATTGTTACGGTTGATAGCAAACACGTGTATGTGTGGCAAGGTTTTTAACCACTATGATCCCGAGTGGTCACCCATCCGGGAACTAGTAGCTATGGCCGTTACTTACTCTCAGTCGCATTCCGCGACTGATAGCAGACAACGCGCCACACCAAGCCACTAATGCTTATTCTTATTTGTTCAGGAAATTTAAATACTTTTATCAATTGTTATTACTTATTATCAATCAAATAGATGAATATACAAGTAAACGTATAAATCTTTAAAACTTAAAACCTAATTATTGGATTAAAAAATTATGATAATAGCAGAAAATTCTTTATACCTATATACTGTTTCATATTGAAGTGTTTAATGTAGGATTATTTTTTATTAATATTAGCATTGATTATATTTAACGTTAATAATCAATACTAATAGTGAATTAGAATTCAACGATTTTAAATCTTTCAAACTTATTCTCAATATCTATGAATATTTGCAGTGTTAAAAGTATAAATTTGTTTATTTTTTTTATTCATCTTAACATCTTGCTAACTTTTTGCTTTTTGTTATTTATGTTCTCTTTAACTTCTCTAATACGGTTGGTTAAATTGTATTTTTTATCAAGTTACATTAATTTTTTAGTTGAATGTAAGTTTATAATATTTATAATGTATTTAAGATGACGTTATTAAATTAACGGTGTATAATGATAAGTTATTTACTATGCAAAGATAAAATCAAACCACGATCGTTATCAGATTGTTTGAATTTAAATTATCTCTTTATTGTAATATTTTATATTTAAATAGGTAGGCGAATTTGTTTATACTGTATAAGTTTAAATTATAATTATATTACACATCGAATGAGTAGCAAAAACAAGGTATTATTGTTAAAAACCATAGTGTATAATATGATGTGTCTATTGTGGATATATTTTCTCTATTTTATATATACTCAAATATTATTAAAAGATAATATGCAAATATAGTATCTCATTGAAAATTATTTTTAAATATAAATTTATTGTATCTATTTTTTTTAAATATAAGATTAAAACATTCAAAATTGAATAGATTTAAAACAATTTAAATTACATTTAATGAAACTTAATAAATATTTGAATTATAGTAACAGATTTTATAAACATTACATTGTTGGTTTAATAATAGCATACGATTAATTAAAAAGGTAATTGACAAATAATGATTTATTATTAAAAAATGAATTATGCTTGAATTATAAGAAGATTAATTGTTTATCTAATTTACAGTTATTTGTATAAATATATAATAATTGACATCATAGTGTTAACAAATTTTGAGATTTTTAGATACCTAGATACATAATTTCATTAAAAATGAATTAATAAAACTGCATTTTTATATATTTATATTATGTATAAAATACTTTGGTTATTATTATTATTCTTATTATACTGTAGGCAATACTTATGACTATAACTGTTTTCTTTTTCTTTTTATTTATTTCAAACTTTATAACGACTACCTATAGTGGCTATAATTATTATTCCATAACTTAATGAATTTTTATTTATTCATACAAGTTATAAGTTAATGATAGTTGATTTAAGATTTATTATAAGTGTACCTGTTATGCATACGATTTATCTAAAAAGTAAAATGGGATTGTTCTTTTTTAAAGTATTATACTCGTATATCCTCTTATCCTGTTAAACTTTAAATCGGACGCAAGGTATGAGCACCAAGGTATGAGGTATAAAACAAAAACCCGTACATGAAAAAATTATTTTTCAGTTAGCATTGAGCTATTATTAAAACTAAAGTTAATAATTGTAATTTATAAGCATCAGTGTTTGTATAATAAGTGTCGAGTGATGACGGATCAATCGCTCAAAGTGACTATTATTAATCCTCATTCCTCACAAAGAGTCTTTATCATATATGATAGGAAAACATTACTTTCAAAGTAAAATTAAAAATATAAAAATCACTAAATAAATATTTAAAGTTCTTTTTTTGAAAATTGACCCAAAAAACTTTCTTTTTTTTACGAATATGATCACCATAATTTACTATATGATCTACGTTATAGACATTAGACATTGTAAACATTTATATGTATAGATTAGTAAATTATAACTACAACGGTTAAATATACAACTAATAATAATTACATCTAAAAACAGACAGATGTCATAAAAAAGACAAAAATTAAATAAGTAATTTGTGTTGATTTTTAGTAGTATAATGAAATGTTTACAATGGCGTATTTATGTTTTCTCAATAGTTTTTCATGGCTAGATTAGAATCAAATACAAAAATATAGCATGGTGTATTATGCTTGTGCATAGATGTATGTTTTCGTAGAACTATAAGAACAAAAGGAATTTCGTGTACTTAAGCGTATAACCGTTTGTTGCGGGTGAGTAAAAGTTCTAGTCGAATGGTCGTGTTAATAGCGACCAACGTGTCTGGGTCGAGGCAGTGGCGACGCCACCGTTGCGGATGTTATACCATTTTCACCTTTTTGGCGGCAATATAACAAGATTTATGGTCTTGAATAACGTTGGCGTGTGAGTATACAACGTTTAATGTACCTATGTATACATATAGTAATAATAATAATAAATATATAAATAAATAATAATAATAATAATAATAACGCGTACACGACTATTCGTGACGACCCGTGCGGCGGCAACGAGCGTTTGCGTGTATTATTATATGTGTTTTTATATATATATATATAGCGCGTATCTAGAGTGGTCTACTACTCCTTCGATCGCCACTGAAAGACTATAATACGTATAATACAGTGGACTAAATAATAGTATAAATATAATAATATTATACCGGGTTGAGGTTAGGAGGCACTACTCGGCCCGCGTTTAGGTTCGGCCGACTACGATAAAAAATGGTCTGTATTCAGGGAAACGTTTGCATCACATGTGGTCGCACCCGAGTATTAGCAATTCAAATGGTCGCGGGGGTGGAGGTAGTGTGTGGAATAAGTGGGTCGTAGCCTGGCGCGATGGAAAAAAACGGTACTCTCGCGGGCTTTTTTTTTTTTGCGTATTTTTTTTTTTTTTACCTCACTATCTGCACGAGACCGAAATTGCACGATTTCATGACATTTTTTGCACCATACCTAATGCGTGTACCGTGTACGTATGGTAAAGCAACCGCGGATGTACGCGTGCGCGTATATCGCCGTTTATTACGCGGAACTATTTTTAATGCTGTTTTTTAAAGTGTATTTTAATAATAAATAAATGTATTTTATTAAATAGTTTATCGCTGTGAGCATAAAACAAAGAGTTTCTATTTTCTATTTATTTATTTTTTGGTATAGTTATTATTTTTCAACATAGGAAACATTATTAACACAAATATGGTTTAGATGTATAGATAAAAGGTAGATATTTATCTATAAAGATATGAGCCAAAATAACATACTCTAATGTTATTTAATAAAACAAATTTGTGTCGAAATTATAAATTTACGTACATTAATCATATATTATTTGTAAATTTTTTATTGCCTAACCTAGTTTAATATAAATTATATACTACATATTAATCTACAGTAAATAAATATATAAATATTTTAAAAGATTTAAATATCAAATAAATAAATGAAAAATTAATCAGTTTTAATTATAAAGTGTTGTCAGTATTGCAGGGATTTTGCGTATTTCATATTTATTTTAATAGGTCTTAAAAAAAAAAAAAAAAATGAACCAAAATATTCAATTTTTTTTTGTATTTTTACAAAATGTAATTTAAGCGTTAAATTTTGGCTATTATTATATCATATAAATGATACTAAATTCAAAATAAAAATGCTTGTTATATATTATAATAACAAGCATGATATATTATATCAAAAAGCACCTATATTTAAGTTATTAAGATTGTTTTAAATGAACACTTTATGAGTAGGTATAATATAATTTTTTTACTATGCACATGCCATGTATTACCTATGTGAAATGTGAATATTGAATTTTTTTTTTTTCGTAAGTATGTAGAAACAAACATGATTTTTTCGAAAAGTACTGTAATTCTATTGTGCGAATACTTAAAAAAAATATATATCTTTAACTTGTTTTATCTTGACAGTTTGACTATACAGTAGGCACTATCTAGACACAAGACACATTTACAATATATACATATTGTTATTCATTGCGCATAATATGTGTACCCTAAAAAAATTAAATATTTAGTTTTGTTTTGTTGCCGCTCATCTTATTTGAAAATTGAACAAATTATTTAATAATATTTACTTCTTTGTTTTTTTTTTTTATATTACATTCAAAATATATAAATGATAAGTTGGTCAAGATTCAGAAAAATTTTTGATATGCCTGCCAACGTATTACAGGTAATTGAAAGACTATAAAGTCATAACCATTTTTTTACTATTTAATGCCTATATAATATAATTATTGACATGATACACGTTATGGTAGTATAGTAAACTATAGGCTCAAAATAGAAATGCGAAGTATTCTTTTATTTTATTTATTTTTTTTCTCATCATATATATAATTAATTTTCGTGCCTTGTGCCTCTTCACTGATGTGCATATTTTATAAGTCGTATTGAAATATAGTATTTTTCTAGGTCGTACATGTATATATATATTTTATAACACAAATAATTTATTCAGATACATACAATTAATATTATATCTATATGTATTTTAGAATTTATAAATTTATGTACATAAAATACATGTTTTAAAAATATTCAAGCACAACTATAGGATTTTGAGAACGTGTGTTTTGATTTGTTCATTTCTATTTTAACTATATGATTATTAATGTTGTATTAAAACAATATATAATAAATTATTATTATTATAAATAAATAAGTAGTTAGGCATATTATTATAGAATATAGATCAATACTTTAATAGTAGATTAAAAAAATAAGTTCAAGACGGGGCTAATGTGGTAGGACGCTCATAATATAATGTGTATTTTAAAATAAGTCTGTATAATAAAACCACGAATGTAAGAGAACTTAATGCATGTTTATAACATTTAAGGTACATTTAGGATTTAGCTTAGCTTTTGTTCTTTTTGTAAACCTATATATATAATATTTTATAACATTACTTTTATAAGTTTAAAAAATTGTTTTATAGGTAATTATATGTTGGTAAATTTTAGGTGTATATAATCCCAATAAAATACAATCTATTTTTACTCACTTTGCCGGTTGTGTCCGTGGACAGTTCTGTAGTGTGTAGGTCGTCAGCGTTTAAAGATGCAGAGCACGGCTCTTTGTACCTGGATGGACAGGCGCATAGTGGTTGCGTGTAATTGAGTCTTACATATACGGCATTACACACCTGTAAAAAAAACGTATTACTTGAAAACTTGATTTTTACAACACTAATATAATATAATATACTTAATATTATATTTTTTTTGTTAAAATTAGTACTTAAATTAGCCTTTTTACTCTTAAATTAAAATTAGAACGTTGCAAATATAAGTAGTTAGTAGGTTATAGTTATTACATGTTTGCATTAATATACATTTTTAAATAATTGCGGGAATAGAAAAATTGATTTTTAATATTTGATTTTAAAAATTAAATAACTATTTGATGCAGTAGGTAGCAACTAAAATAATTTAGACAGTAAACAGACATTTGATTCCAATAGATTGCATACAATACTGCTAGTATCTAAATAATTAATGTAAAAAAATTGTAACTAATTAAACTAAATCATTTTTTATAAGTTAGATAATATATGTTAAATATAACAAAATTTAACTTAAAAACTGTGGTTATTTATCATAAACTTAATATACATTTCAAGTACAAAAATATCTAATAATATACCTGTTGAACTGCACACTCGGGCAGTAGATATATGTGTTGATTGTGTGGATAATAGTGGTATTTTGTTGGTTTTAATCCTTGGTTAGGTGTTGCTGATTTATTCGATTCCTGCTAAAACAATATAACATTAATATAATCTTATTATAGTCTATAATTATTATTATTAGGGCAAAAAAGTTTCGTATGAAAAAATTTAACAGATTGTATTGAACATAATATATATATATACATACATATTATTATTTTTGTTTGATATTGACGCAATAATTTATTTTTAATACATAAATAATTAATTATTAGATGAAAACTACTTATTAAAAGAGTATATTTATATATAGATTTAATTATTTATATTTCACATTACGAATGTGCTTGCATTTTAAAAGTTAAAACTATGATACGAATACTTATATGTTCATTTTTTTATTTTTTGTTACATTTTATGCTACGTAAAAAATACATTTTTATCATTCTAGAAGCAATAAATTATTATTGTTTAATATTTATTATAATATTATAAGTATATAATCAGTTATGTTTTTGGCGAATTTTATAATATAATTTAGATAATTAAGACGGACAAGTATGATAATATTTTATACCTGTAAACATCATACGTTCTTTGTATTTATAATATAACCACTTTCGCTACTGATAGGTTTTGGAACCTAATACTTTACAATCAAATGGACACTCGACTCGCACCTCTTGATAATCTAGGACAATATCTTAAAAATCCTACCAATTATAATGCCAATACTCAATTACACCTGTCCTTATTAGATCCGTTTTCTGATTCGACTATTCATTCGACATTTTAACACTAGCGAACAATATTGCCCCTGGAGTATACCGCTATGGCCCAGTTATGTGGGCGGCACCTGAAGCCTAAACGTATAGTGTCATTGTCTGTGAACATAGAAACTTGTTGGACATGCCGGAAATATGATACAGTAATTTCTATTCAGTAATGATCTGACAAATTTGTGTTTATTTGTATACAATAATACTATTATATAGGATTATAAACAAATAGTCACGTGGCATACATCGTTTTCTTGAATACCATTTTTTAATGGTGATTTATCTTTATTTTCTTACACAAATAGTAGTATTGGTATACAATATTCTTATATTAGTATTAAAACATCACTGTGACACACTTGAACTTCTTCATTAGGTACACAATTAGTTTCGGTCAATGGTAATTTTCTAATGATGGGTTGATTGACAGGTATTTTGATTTTCAGCATTATATTTAAATTGCTCAATGACGAAAGTAATTTTATCATCGTACGTATATTCATTGGACGGTTGTTGTTATTATGAATTTATTATTATTATTTTTTTATTTAAGTTTCTGTAATATATTATGACATTATGTTAATAATGATTAAAGTTTTATAGGTATATGTATGAAAAAATGACATTTTGTCCTGAATTTGTTTGAATTCCATTGAAACTTCTTTATTATTAGCAAGATGACTAATAAAATTACGATAAATACATTAATACGTATTAATATTATATTTTTGAAATATATATAATGTGTATGTGTATGTTTTGCTATTTGAGGATTTGATAATATATTTTATCTTTGAACTTCAAATTTCTTAATTTATTCTTCACTGATGTAAAAAAGACTTTTTTATCTAATACGTAGAATCACGTATGTATATTGAATATTGTATCTGCATTTGAGTAGTATTATTTTTTTATTCGTCTAATTCCGTTAACTTGTGGAATTTATCACATTAAATGAATTTTCAACAATTCTCTCTGCAGCGACATAAGATTCTATAGCACTTCTAATTCACGTGAAATTATCATGCCATCGTGTGAAATTTTTTTTTTAAATCCAGTAGGTGTGTAAGAATTTTGAATTGTTATAAAACGACTACAGCATAAAAACTAATACTACTAAACGGTAATTTAATACTGTATCTCAGCGCCTATGTTTTGCAATTCATATTCCATTGATCAAATCAATCGACAGAATTTATTTTAATCCATTCACAGTACGTTTTTTTTTTCAACAAAGTTTAATTACTTTAATTAATGAAGAGATTAACGCGCTTTAGAATTTATTTTTATGTACAAATAATGAATTATTATGTTTATAAATAATTATTTAAACAAAAATATAAAAAATAGGTATTTGGTATCATTATGTTTAGATATGCAATATTGATACAAAATCAGGAAAGCAGTAGGTACGGTTCTATTGTACATTGAGTGTAGAGTGGGTCACAATTACAGGTGTTAAATTTGAATTCAACGATATATCATTGTATAAGTAAAACGATTTTAAGCGGAAATGGATTATTTGTCTATATTACCAAGTACATTTCATAATATGTTTTTTGAAATAGCTATTTAATTCATTTATTCAAGTTCTATTATTATAGTAGGTTGAAAGAATTAACCTCGGTAAATAAATAGGGGGGGGGAGCGTAAATTTCTCAGCATATTTTTAATCAAATTTCCACCAACGGGTGCCTATAAAGTATACTAAGCATAATTCTATGTATTATTTTTATAATAAATAAAAAAAAATAAAAAATAAGCTTATAGTTTCACTTAAACGTTCAAAATATTAAATGATTTTTTGCAATATTTCTCATTGTACTTTTATGTTATTTTGATTTGTTGATAGTTAAACTTATGATAAAGATTTGTAACTTGATTTTTAAAGTGATATAATATGTAATATACATAACATATAGAAATTATTCGAGGAGAACCACTAATTTGTGACTGCCTCTTTCCTGATTTGGATCTTCTTTCTGAATTTTATTATATTTTCTTTAATATTTGTATATTATATATATATATTTATAATTTACTGTATATAGTTATAAGTAATAACTTTTATACTATGGCTTATTATTATTATTATTTTTAATCAATATATAGTATGTTGGAACTAATAATAAATTTACTAGGTTATTATAATAGTATATAAAAAATATATAATATATAAAAGTATACATATGTATTAAATAATTATCAGTCATATTATTTTAATTTTATATGTGCATGTGAATAGTACATGAATATAATATAATATTGGCATATAGACTATAATTTATTATAAAAGAATTAGTTTTTTTTATGTATTTATGTAGTGTAAATATTATAGATTAATGACCCAGTTAGATGGAGTCTATTACGTTTTTTCATTCATCCTAGTAAAGAGTATAGTTTAAAAAAAAAATAAGATTTTTTTTATCACATTATATTTAGTGTATTTGATATTTAAAGACAGTTTTAATTATTTTCAATATTAATTCACGAATTATAATAATATATATATATCTTAAAAAAATAAAATTAATAAATTATATTTTTTTAGTACCTAACATAATAGTTATTTAACATTTTGATGGTAATAGTTACATCAGTAGTATGGCGAATTGAAAATTTTTTAAAGGCAAAAAAAATATATGTCAAAGATCCACACACCACTATAGATGCAAAAAATAGTGGGGTATTAAAACATAAATTGATATAATTAATGCGTAATAATTTAATACAACTAATTATATTTTAAATCACTATTGACTACCGATTGAGCATAATATTACATTTATAATTAGAGGACCACTAACCACCCCATATTTAAATAAAATTTCAGATGTGATTGTCTTTAAAATTATTGTTTGCCATGCCTTTGTGTTATTTAAAAAGATAACAAGTGTATTAAAATTGTTTGTTTTACTTTAAATTTTTAGTTTTTTGGGGTTTTCTACACAAAATATTGAACTACACCATACCATTATAATATAAATATATTATAGTATTTTTGACTTTTCTATGAATTCCAATCGAAATCTTTTAATTAAAGAATATTCAAAATAATGTCCCAGATACAAGACAATATTTTTTACATCACCGTAAAACCCAAAAATCGATTTCTTTGTGTTGGAATGTTATTGACCAGTATCTACTCATAGAAGCCCACACGTACGAAAACTTTCCAGAATCTTTGTAATTGCTAGACCGTATAATTAGGTCGGTTAAGTAATTAAAACAGATAGTTTTCGCTTTCGCACGATGCAGCAACTATATAGATAGACGTAGTTTGCTGCAGAAAATCTAATCGAAGAAACCAATTGCTAATTTAGTTTGTTGTTTTTTTAAAATCACCACTTCATTTTTCTGTTCCTCGTGCATTGTTTTCGACCAAATAGAAATTGCATTGATTAGTTGAAGGCGTACGCGACCGTTACACATGGGTTAATGGATTTCATGGAATTGGAGATCTCTCGCGTGCCGTTTCGTTTGTTGTAGGTTATTCTTTAATATTAAGTATTTATACAAATATACATATTTGTATGCATCTATTATTGGTGATGTAGCGGCTACTATACAAACTATTTGAAGTAGTAAAAAATAATATAAAAAAATACACCAAACTAAATGAAATAAATAAAACTGTAAATAGAATCGAATAAGATGTTTTTATATTTTACGGTTGTTATTATGAATTGTAACGGAATGTTTATGTAATTTCACATAGGTATTCTTTAAATTAACGTAATTTCGCTTGAAACGGAAGACAAGTATAAATGTATATTATATTACATATTGTACTATTGTAAACTGTTCTATAAATACCATATTTAACATTTCAAACTTAAAAATTTGATATATTTCATGAAAGTAAATAAGATATACCTACGCTACTTAGTACTTACTATAAATTTATATACACATTTTAGATTCTTAAAACAACTTTTAAAGCAATGATTTTTAAATATAGATGCTATAGATTTTGAATGTAGTGGTTTACTTTTTAATTTTAATATTTAGTTGTACTTATTGAGTAAAGTTGATGTGAAATATAGATTTAAAGATGAATATTAAAATACAGGATCATGATCAGTGTTATCTTTTTTTATTATTTATTATTACTTACTATAATTATTTTTATGACATTGCTATTAATTTGTTTAACTAAAATGTCAATTCAGATGTTAAACTATAGTTATTTATGATTTAAAATAAAAATTTAGTTTATTTATTATAGTAGGTAATTAGATTTTTAGAATCAATATAATAAAATAAGTTCGAACCAACATGGACAACAATAGTAAAAGTACTCTCGA